AGCAGAGGGGCAGGAGAACCTCCCTGACCTGCTGGCCACGCTCTTCCTGATGCCCCCAGGATGGCATTGGCCTTCCTGGCTGGGTTTTGGGGTGGGTGCTGCCATCTCCAACCACCTCCCTCCAAGCATCCCCTTCTCTGTTCCCCTGTTCCACAGCAAAAGAGGAAGCTGAGGATTTACATCTCCAACACTTTCACCCCAGCCAAAGAAGAAGGAGAAGGTGGGGAACGTGTGGCCTCCTGGGAGCTGCGTGTGGAGGGCAAACTGCTGGAGGATGTAAGGACTGGGATGGGATGGGATGGGATGGGATGGGATGGGATGGGATGGGATGGGATGGGATGGGATGGGATGGGATGGACTGGGATGGGATGGGATGGGATGGGATGGGATGGGATGGGATGGGGAGGAAGGATGGACTGGTCTGGGGAGGAGGGTTGGGCTGGTTTCCTGGTGCAGGGCTGGATGTGGCCCTTGGCTCAGGAGGTGCTGGGGGACACCAGCCCCCTCCTGGCTGCTGGTGTCAAACCAAGTGTCTCCTGCTGTGTCCTGCAGCCAAGCAAGCAGAAGAGGAAGTTCTCTTCCTTTTTCAAGAGCCTGGTCATTGAGCTGGACAAAGAGCTGTACGGGCCAGACAACCACCTGGTGGAGGTGAGATGGGAGGCTCCTGGTTCTGGGGAGGGGCTGGATCCACCCCAGGGAACAGCCAGTGTCCCAGTGGGAATGGGGAGGTGGGTCTGGCACAGCCCCTCAGCCCATTGCCTATCCCACTGAAGGAGGGGCTGAGCAAGGAGCTTTTTGGGTGCTGGGGAGCAGGGCTGAGGGAGGAGGTTTTGGGTGCTGGGGAGCAGGGCTGAGGGAGGAGGTTTTGGGTGCTGGGGAGCAGGGCTGAGCCCTCCCTGGGGACCCCACAGCAGGACCACTTGGAGCTTTCCCTGCTCAAGGTCAGGGCTGTTCTCCCTGGCTGCTGTGACTCAGCTCTGAGCAGGGCTGATGGAGGTGTTGGGTGCTGGGAGCAGGGCTGAGTGAGGAGGTTTTGGGTGCTGGGAGCAGGGCTGAGTGAGGAGGTTTTGGGTGCTGGGAGCAGGGCTGAGGGAGGTTTTGGGTGCTGGGGAGCAGGGCTGAGCCCTCCCTGGGGACCCCACAGCAGGACCACTTGGAGCTTTCCCTGCTCAAGGTCAGGGCTGTTCTCCCTGGCTGCTGTGACTCAGCTCTGAACCCCTTCCTGGAGCTGGGGCTGAGCTCTGAGCTGCAGCCTGGGCAGCCCCCCAGGACCCCCTGATTTGCTCACAGTGGGGCCCAGCAGGGGTGGCAGTGCCCCAGAAAGGCTCTGGTTGGATTTCCCAGCAGGGTCTGCCCTGGTTGGCTTGGAAGGTCCTGAGGGGCTTTTGGCACTGCCTGAGCAGGATCAGACCCGTGTTTTTGGGGTGCTGCTGCCTGCACCAGCCTGGCCCTGCACCCACCCCACACTGCTCCTGAGGGGCACTTGTGGCTGTGGGGAGAGTCCCCATCACTCGTGGGCTGGTTGGTGGAGCAGTTCTGATGCCCAGCACCTGCTGGGCCCCAGGCAGGATTGATCCCAGGCTCTGTCTGAGCCTTTGGCATGAAGTGCTCAGAGCTGCAACCCCCCCAACCCACCCAAACTCCCCCAGCTCTGGGCTGGTGGGACCGGGTGGTGTCTCAGCTGAATCCCACTGGGATCAACCTCTCAGAACTGCCAGGGGGGGCTCCAGGCTGCGTGTCCCTGCACCCACCACCAGCTCTGCACACCCCAGAGCCCATTGGGAGGCGGCTTGTCATGCTCCTGGGGCTGAGCAGTGTCCCCTGGGTCTCTCCTAGTGGCACCGACTCCCCACGACCCAGGAGACTGATGGTTTCCAAGTGAAACGTCCTGGTGATGTCAATGTCAAGTGCACCCTCCTGCTGATGCTGGATCACCAGGTGGGGCCCAGGGGGGCTGGGGCAGGGCCCTGGAAGGTGTTTTTGGGGGGTTGGTGGGGATGGAAAAGCAGCACAGAGAGTTCCAGCCCCTGGTGACACCAGTTGGTGACACCAGTTGGTGATGCCAGGGCTGGGTGGGGCCCTTCCCACTGTCACCCCCCCCTCACCCCTTATCCCTGCAGCCCCCCCAGTACAAACTGGACCCTCGCCTGGCTCGCCTGCTGGGGGTGCACACCCAGACCCGGGCCAGCATCATGCAGGCCCTCTGGCTCTACATCAAGCACAACAAGCTGCAGGACAGCCACGAGAAGGAGTACATCAACTGCAACCGCTACTTCCGCCAGGTCAGACCCTCCCACCCCCACCCCTGGCACAAACACCTCCTTTCTGCCTCAAAACTGACACTCCAGGCTGGCTCAGGGAGGGATGGAGCCCAGAAACCATCCCTGGCCTGGGCTGAGTCACCAGCAGGGCCAGGGAGGGGATTGTCCCCTCTGCTCTGCTCTGGTGAGACCCCACCTAGAGAACTGGGGCCAGTTCTGGAGCCCCCAACACAAGAAGGACATGGAGCTGTTGGAGAGAGGCCAGAGGAGCCAC